GCTCAAACCTCAATGGTCTGCTTTCCACTGACATAAGTTTCATTGAAATCTCCTCCTAATTCTGAACTATTGCTCTTGTAGTCCACTTCAAACAACTATTTTGTGATACTTTAAACAACTTTCCACATAGCAGTACTCTTGATTTCTGAATGATGTTTTTGTTTGTCTGTACTGCTGTGCAGCTAACATTTGGACAGTGTATGGTGATACCTCTGAGGACATGACACCTTCAACCCATCCTTGAATAATGGGGAAGTAAACCACAAGAAAACTGGCAACAGTTGTGTGATTGTGATATTTTGGCGCAGGATCATATATTTATATAGTGTTCAGTGTTTACTACTTCAAGTTAGGTCACCTGGCCTGCTGCTCTTTGTAGTTTACTATATACAGTGTAAGCTGTATAGAATAATCGTGCTAGCGGTTTCACGTGTAATTTAAGGTGTATTTGAACTTCATAGATAGTTTGGTATTGCCTTTCTAAATGTTGCTGATCTTTCATATCTAAAATTCGTTTCCTGAGTAATTTGTGTCAATGATCCTGGTCGCTACTTTTAACGTTTTCAAAGACCATTATCTTTAGCACATTGTAAAACATATCTTCATTGCAAATAACACCGCGTTCGACATCCATGTAAGCAAAGTAGCCAAAAAGCAACCTGATCTTGTTGAGCATAATGGTATAGAATGATACATAGTCCAACATGATTGTTAGTATCTGAGTAGTTGTTCCATATTATAAAGCTACGCTATACAGGTTGTAAAGAGGATGGCTGGTACTTAATTTGCCTGAATGTAAACATAAAGGTACATGCTTATAAAACGTTTGTCATCATCACATTCTGCCAGAAATATCCCAGGGAGTAAATTTTACGGAGTTTAATTATTAAAATTCATTATATTAGAAAGCGTTACTTTTGTCTTGTCTGCTTTATTCTAGAACAATATAAGCAGAAGTATTTGCCAGGAAGAAAAACTATCTGGACTCACGCCATTTTACATTAAACTTATGAATTTACATGTCTTATAGAATGGTCACAGATTTATTCCACTGAGATTTGAGTTTTTTTTAATAGACTAATATAATTTTTCACCTTTTCCCTTTAATTCATATATATAGGACGGATAATGATGTTTACTTAATTCTGAAGAATCAGAGCAATGAGTAGTATTAGATGTCTATAGTGTGAGCTCAAAAACTTTTATTAGGTTTTCCCTTTCCTACTAGTTGTGAGTTTATTTAGATATATGTAACTAACGGTTCACCTTATATTTGTTTTCAAATAAATTAGGTAACCTGGTTAAGAAAGTTATTGATTTCAACATTTCACAATGAAGTTAATTTAAGAAAGACACGATTTACCATAAAAAGACTATTAGTAAACTATGAGTATGTATTTTGCTTTTATATGGAAATAAAAAAGCACCAATAGTCTTTTTGCAAATAAAGGCGTCATATTTATGCTTTGTCTGTTGTAAATATTTTATGGGGGTACCAGTGTGACTATACTTATGTGATGCCGTTGTTGATTTTCTATTTATTATTAAACAATAATGTTCCTTGTTTTAACTATTGACTAGAGTTCTTTGAAATTAGTGACATTTTTAACAGATAAAGAGTCCTGATATACATATTTACTTTTGAGTTTTTGTATTAACAATTTCACTACTTGCTGAGATTATGATTTGAAGAAAGATAAAATTGATGAATAACTAATGAAACTATTGAAAACAACAACATTTTTGTTTTTATGCCAGAATTTTCTAAGGATATGTGATATTTCGAAATATTTATGTGGAAATTTATTAAGTTCTAAGTAAATCATACAACTGTATTTGTTTATTTAGTAGACTATTAGTCTGTACAAGATTCTTATCTGAATTCCTAACAAGTTGTTGTACATGAAAATGAAGTTGACGTATTTCAGTGGTATACTATTAGTTTGATGACACGTGGATAAATAAACAGTCATTGTACGATAGTACGATTGAAAATACCGTATAAATATAGGATTTTCTGTGGAAACTGAAAGGATTATTATAACCATTTATCACATTGATTTCTCATTATGATCATTTATCTCTGTCTTCGTAAAGCCCAGTCTTTTCTAGAATACTCAAAAACGTTAATCTTCTTTTTTTTATGAATGTCCCTTCAGGGTGATAAAAATTGTTACGAATTATTTCTTTTCTTCACATTTACTTTTTAGTCTCGAATAGACTTTTAAATTCATGCCTGTAAAGCACATTGATGAACTAAGTGTTCATTTATTCATGTTGTTTGCTACTTGTGAAAACTATTGACAATGCAAAAAATACAACTTTTAGTTTGCAAGTATTATCATAGTGATATTGATTAAAAGGTTATTTTGAACTAATTATAAAAATGTTACATTATGTGGTGACTGAAGGTAATCGACAAGCGACTCTGAACCAAGGTCTTTGCGATTTTTCCATTGATAAAAACGTGTGTCTAATCTATAGAGAAATGATAGTTCCTGGCGAAAGTTCACATCAAGATAAAACAAAACGCATCTCTTCATCCAGTGTCTAAGGCGGATAACTTTCTCAACCCGACACAGATCGAACTCCACTTGTTTTGGATTCTCACTAGAACTCTAGGATATCCATCAACCCAGTATGGGACTCCTCAGCACTGTGCAACACCATGAATCGATTGAAGTTAAACATTACCACTATCGGATGCCGGATCAGTTATCCAGAGGTTGATCATTCGTGGGCGGGACTGAAGATGCTGAGTTTGAGTCTCATGAGCGGGATCGTAGATGGGCATTGCTGAATAGTTCTATACTGGAACGAATTGGCCGTTCAGTGCTTTCAGGTTTTCAGTAGTAGTCTAGCTTAGATCATTTCATGAATTCAGTTATTAATCATTTGTAGTTGCGTGTAGCGGCAACATCAGTGAGTAAGAAATGACAATAACGAGAGAACAACAACCAAGAAATTATCATTCCTGGGAATGGAAAGAAAAATTCTTGTATTCTGAACATCGCTTAAGGTTTAATTTTTCAGTTACATCACTTAAGATTTGAGTGTTCAGTAATTATGTTTCGAAAGGTACTTTTTTATTTTAATTAACTATCCCACTAAAGTCAATGGTTCAATTCGTAAAATGGTTTTAGGTTTATGTCATACTTACTGAGTAAGCCGTTTCATTAATCATAATTTCGTTGATTTTAAACCTAGAGATTATTACTATCACATTCCAGTGTTTGTTTGACAGACAGAGATGTATATAGAAAACAAAAACAAATGGATCAAAAATAGTGATAAGATGGATTCATTGAAAGAGATGATAGCTTTTATACTTCTACCTTAATCATTTAGCTTTAAATAAGAATGTAATAAAAGTAAATAAATTGTGGACTTACGTATAGCTTTGTTTTGAATCTCCTTCTCATTCGGTGTCAACATTTCCACAACAATACATTACTAATGGATTCGTTATGATAGATATATGTTTGTTAATTATGACTGATAACATAATATTATTTTTTGTCAATTTGAGTTTTTACATTTATAAACAAATCGGACGCTTAAGATATTCTACTTGTGACGACGGACCATGGGTGAACTCGAGGAAGCTGTAAGAGGCTCAGAAGGAGTCGAAGATGTTCCATCCAATTGCCTTTCGGAAGAATATTCTAGAATTCCTACGTGTAGCTTCCCGATTGGATAATGCTAATAGCCCCCTGTATGCGGATTGGAGGACTGTAATGATGATTTCGTTCTCACTAAAAACTATAAATACCTGACAATTCTGTACTATGATTGACAGTGTTTGGAATAATATTCCTTTCATCAGTCTTCTGTCTTCTTACTGCGACTTGGAAGGGTTTTAGTGTTCTAGTGCTCTGTTATACGCGGTATATCAAGAAATCAACTTTTAAGATATAACACTACTCAAACTAATATAAAAACTAACATTTGAATGAGTTACTAGTTATTTACAATATGTTATAAACAACTAATAACACGTTCAAGTGTAAATATATTTCCAGTCAGTCTAGAAATATGGAGAAACAAACTAATGAATTCAGTTTTACGAGATGTCTTCTAGCTATTTTATTATCAACCTTAATATTATTAAACTTTATTCATTCTTCAAAATATTCAATGATTATTTTCTGACAATATTGTATTTATACTGAATAGTTTCTCAAAGAATTATGGATAAAACTGTATAAATTAAAGGAGACTAATATAATCAACTAAAATAAAACAATAAAAGCTAAATGATTACTCTTACTTATTAAATAACAATCCATAATATTCTTATTCCCAAATGAATTATAAATTGGAGAGAAATTATTGGTAGAAAAGCTTAGGATAAGTTCTACTACTAACCAATTACAATTGAATATTTATTACAAACTTTCAAATGATCATATATCATTTAACTGGTTATCATTCCATTTCATTTTATCAATTTTCATTTATTCATTCATTATAAATTATTGTATCATTTAATTTAATAGATTTATACATTGATATCATTGTATAACATTATTCAATGTAGCATAGTAACTAATCATAGTAAAACTCAGAATAATAATAATAATATGACTTTAAATGTAATGCATAATTTGTTTAATCACCAAGTCCCGGTTGGATACAACTTTTAAATTTGAAATTAACATTTTTATTAATAATAATAATAATAATAATAAACAATATGAATGAATCATTTATACAAAATAATCAATCAATATCTTCAATTTCTAATCAAAAATATTAATATATCCAATGATAATCAATTTATTTTAGAATGGAGTTTAACTAATCTTTCCACAAAGAATACATCACAACAAATTTATTATTTTTTCAATCATTATGTGAATACTTTATTAAAAAATCCATATAAACGAGTATTATTATCATTGTATATAATCATATTAATATTTGGTACATTCATTAATTTATTATTAATATATACAATTAAAAAATTACGTAATCCAAAATCTTTAGCTAATAGACGAATGTTATTAATACGTGTATTATGTGATTTAGCATTAGCATGGTTTGGTGTACCATATACAGCTTATACAGCTGTATATAAAAATTGGTTATTAGGCAATATAATGTGTAAAATTTCTGCATTTCTTATTTATTTTATTGTTGCATTAAATAATTTTTTACTTGTTGCTATATGTTTAAATCGTAGTGTAGGAATAAGTCAAAATGGTAAACATTTAACTGATCCAACAGTTAGTGTACCATGTCGAGTAAAATGTTTATTAGTTGCAGCTGGATTATTAGCATTGATTATTGCATTTCCTGGTGGAATTGTTAGTGAACAAGTACAAATTAAATTACCTGAAACAATGAAATATATTTTGATTTAAATACAGATATATCAGAAATGATACCTATGATATGCATGTAAGTTATCGTTTATATAATACTATTTAATATGCATTCATATTATCTAAGAATAAGAACTATTTTATAGTATAATTTCATACCCTGAAACAATATTACAATGTTTAGTGATTGATTTGCATTCTTTAGGAATTACATAAAAACCTATAATTTAATATTTCATTACTTTCTTAAAATAAAAATTTGGAGAACGTTTATTTAGGACAATGATATCAGGATAATCGTAACTTTGTTTTTCTGAAGTTCTTGAAATAAGCTTTGATAAATCCCGTATAAAGTTATTCTTTGAGAATTTATAACAGTGATTAATATTGTTTTTCTGTATTCGTAAAATCTATGCTTGACATTCAAAACTCATGATGGGTTCACATAATTAGCTAGAATCGAATAACTACTTTTGTAACTTCCTAGCTTTATTAAATATATTACAGGCGTTTTGTACTTATGTAATCGATGCGTAACATAACCATCAGAAGTTTGACTCATCGTTAGTAGGAATGATAAAATCCGAAAATTCCGGTATATAATGTATAACTATTAATCATATTATTTGACAGTCCTTCTTGATTTTAAATATCAAGATTCCTTACCTATTCTATTGGTGGATTGGTTGCCAAGGCAATTGTTTGGTTTATACGTCGTTCGTTTACTTTTTCTTGAAACAATTATATGACTTTAACGTCCTTTTTTAAAATATCTTCAAGTGTGTTAGTGTACTAGTTTTCTATAGAACAGACAAATAATTTTCTATTACTAATTACTGTTTTTTGATGTCCTTTGATAAAGTGGAAATTATGTTTTCTTACTCATGTGGTTAATTGAGAAAAGACAATTAGTATGTGGTTCTGAACTTAGGTTCAAGCTTGTTGACGATCTTTATGGAAGTGAGTTGGTAGGATTCTTATAGCTCATGAGGTTCGAATTAATAAAATTATTGTGGCCTGTAAATATAAGGGGATTTAGTGGAAATGGAATTATTCAAAAATTCCAATTCTATTAGTATTTTTACACTTAGTACCATTAGATTTTCCGTAAGTGTTCTATTGATGTAACATAAGAACTAAGTTTATCAATATGTAAGAATCATATTTATATTTATGATATAGATTTTATATAGTTTATTGCTTTTTCTACATCAAAATATACATTTCAATCTCCGAACTATGTAGTTAATTTATTTACTTTAGTTAAATTGATGCTCTTTCCCTCATGTATGAATATATATATAGTCATGCATTCTGTATTATGGACATCAATAAATTTTTAAGAACAACATGATCACCTGACGTAACTTCACAGATATCTTTAAGATGTTGATATATTTAGTCTAAAATAATAATTCTGATTGTCGGCCAAAAACTCTGACTTAACTTAATGGGGAACTTCTTTGAAAAACAACAATGACTATGATACCTGTTTAGATGACTAAATATGTTATAATATCTAGTATTTTGTAAGAAAATTATGGGCATTTTCTAGATGTTATAAATTATTTTTATATAAAGAAATTAGCGAACTTTATTACCATATGTGTTTACAGTTTATGACATTGACGGGTAATTCTCATACCCAGTTTATCGATTCGTGTAATGTATGTCTATTTTATAATACAGAAGTAAGAAAGCTATTGGAATTAAGAAATGGGAAAAAGTTAAAAATAAGAAAGTATGATTATTCTGAAATAAAATTCTTTTCTGGTAAAATTGTTTAGGGACTTACACTTGGCAAAGTAGTAAATACATTAAAAAGGTATGGTAATTGCATTTAACTATGTGTTTAAACGGATAAATTAACCTGTAAAATGTACTTATAAAACTAGTGATTGGTTATTTTTAAAGATGACAAATTGTAGATTTGCAATCGGTAACATAAAAAAAAGTCATTGTTTAATGATTATGGGTTGAACTTTACAAAATGAACCGTAATAATCAGGTGAATCACCAATTCTTCATCGGTATTTAACCGTACAATTATTCAATTCGTGTTGGAAATTGAGGAGATACACATACTTCCTTAATAAATTTACCAGTTAGTTTGAGCAACATGATAGCTAGAAGTTTCTGATCTGGGTTTAAATAATTACACTATCTTACTTAACATATTCTGAAGTTCTACAGTAAAATCCAGGGTAACAGAGTATATGTATGCTTGCATATACTAATGAAAACTTTCCCCACACTTTAGATTCTGAAGTGGAAAGTATTGATAGAGTTATTATTTTTAAAAACATTGTAGATCATTTAATACCAAGTTCCAGTGAATCAATTATTACTAAATTAAAAGAACATAATCTGCGTGGTGACGCAGTGAAATGACCAAACACCTATTAATATTACTTTAAGTGTATTAGTTCTGTCAAGATTGTTTTATTGTGTAGCTGGTATTGGTCACGAACTAATTTTAGTTTGGAGACCATTGAAAACTAAAGACTGAACAGCTATTTCTGCCTGGAATTGAACTTTTTAAAAATGTGGTCCTAAAGGCCTATCAGGAATTGAACTCATAGATATAAGATGTGTATGTAGTGAAACACTTGTTGTGCTATAATGCAACCTGATATATTTGAGAACGTATACCAATGGATTTCAATCCAAACACTTAGATAGTTAAGTGTTTTTCCAATGAAGTGGAGGTCCGACATTTGATCATTAGAAGGATTCGTGGTGAGGATTTCTGTTAAGTTTCATATTATAATAAACAAAGCTTGAATGAATAGCTCCTACATGTTGATGATGGTTATAAATAATACTATTTAGGATCGAATATCTAAAAGTAAGAATGTTAACTGAAAAAGAGGTGGAAAGTGATATAACTAAATAATTTCTGCTTTATTAGGTCAAATATTGATGTATTTGTCTTTTAGAAAACAGTCTACGTTTGAACATATAAGTACACTAACGGTTAGCTAAGTCGTGGTTATTATGATATATTTAAAAAGGTCCCCACTCAATGTCATCGATGAACACCTTTATGCCTTCTGAGTGAAGGTATTTTAAATTCCATTCTAACATCTTAGAAGGTCTACAGGAAGTTCAATCCAATTTGAATGACACCATATTGTGTCAGACTGGTCAAGTAACAATAAAGAATTCATATTTTTCATGACTGATTCTGAAACTACCATGTTTAAACAAAGCACTGATAAATTTACACTTAGTTTCATGTATACTGATGATACTTCTATCATATTTCATGAATACCAATATACACCTAACTTAATGAAGCTTTTCAACAAGATGCAAAGAAATATTCTTCTTAGCATTAAAGATCAATATGAAGACAATTATTTCTTTCTTAATGTCGGTAATAGATCAGAAAAGAGGTAACGTAATTCAACATGATCATTATCTAAAGAGTCTATGAATTCTAACAAATTTTATCTGAACAGCTCTGTCAAAGATAATATAGAAAAAAATAATTTGTATGGAACAAGTTGCAAAAGCCAGTCATATTGCATTAGAATGACTATAATCAAATAGTTAGAGATTGTACAATCATATTAATCAAGATATCATTTTTTTTGTTGCTTTTGTTTCATTCTATAATTGTCCTGATGAAAATAACAGATGAAGATAATCCCACTATTCTATTTGGCCTATTTATCAACAATAGCTATTGCCAATACATTTGATTAAATTATTGCTTTATGTAAATACGAATAAGTTAAAAATAGACTCAACAAAATGTTATTAATTAACAAGAATCTTGTATTAAATTAGTGTAATTGAAAAAGGAAATGTAATCAATGTATCGTCTGGTTAACTCAATTTTACTTAGAAGCAATTATTTGAGACCAATTAAAACTCAAATGTAATTCGAAACTTATCTACAATCCATGTAGTAATATAAATTGCTTACTTAAGTAATAATGACATCAGAATAATAAAACATTGTTTAAATGGTCAATTAATCATATGAAAAAACGTTTTCTTTTATTTAATAAGCAACTCCACCTGGACCCCCTCTGGGGCTACTGTCGGTCTCACGCCACGATAAATGAGGTGGGTTGGGATGAAGGTTAGCGACCCCATCCCGTAGAAAAGTAACCCGCTAAAAAACCGCTAACCGGAAAAAATTGATTTCACTATAGAAAATAATAATAATAACCATCATTATAAGTGTCACAAAAATATAATCAACCTAGTAGAAATGAGCCAAATATTATGACAAGATAATTGAATAATAAGAGAGAAAGAAAAAAAACAAATGATAATTGGTACAATGATAAAAGATAAATATTAACTAAAATGTGCTATTTTGTTTGTGATTTAATCGTATTATCCAAAAGGAGATTTTTAAGGTTGATTAAGTGAGTGTATATAAGCACCAATTTTAATAAACACCTTTAACAAATTGATCAACTTGTTCGTTCAGTATAAAAACTAGAGAGTCACAAACTTCAGGTAGAACTGATGTGTTCGAATTTTTCGACATATGGTTTACAGTTTGTCGTGTACACCTCGATGTTGACCTTAAACCTGTCATTGTTTACTTCATTGTTTTGGTTGTATCTCATGTGTACCACATGTGGAGAAATTCGAACACTACACTTCTACCTGAAGTTTGTGCTGATTATGTCGTTCAGAAGAACGATGAAAGCGCCACGATTAAACCATCGAGATCAGCGAAAAGACTCTATTGAAATCACCCATCTGAGCTACAAATCTTCTTCATCATCTATAAATCCATGTTACTAGATGTGAAGCAGCTCTAAACAGTTAAATTAAAGTGAATTAATTTTATACCTAAGATGACCATCAATAACTACGCTAAACTCAAGTATTCAGTTAAATAATTGATATAGATACTGAGATGGTGGAGAAGATTTGTAGCTCAGGTGGATGATTTTGATGGAGTTTTGTTCTCTGAGCTGGATGGACCAAACCATCCAGCTCAGTGATATAGATACTATTATAAGCTTATCAGTAGTGCTAGAAATAGAGTATTTTTCTGAAGCAATCAC